GAGGGCCAGGTGGAAAAGATGAGTCGAGATTCCATAAGGGTTAAAAGCAATTATATAACCATCGACATAATCTCCTCGACCTTTCACACTCTTTCAACGCTCAAGAATGACGGACTGTAAGAATTATTGAGTCTTGAGACAGTTTGATATATCTGATTGCTCTGCAGGTTTTTATCGTTTCATCTTGCGATAGCTCGATGTTTGATAGCTTTTGACCTTTACGGAAACTCGAGTCATTTTTTCCACATGACCCGCATGGCCTTTGACACTTGACGAAAAAGTTTCGTCGGACTGTAGAATACTACAGTCTGTGTTCTTCATTATTCTTAAAAAGAAGTGAACGAGGTTACTTGATCAAGCATTGCCGAAACGATATTAATACTGAACCTGAACAATATTACGTTCAAACTTACATTGCTCTTTCAAGAATAACTACTGTAGAAGGTGTTCATCTAATCAATTTTGATCTTTCTTCTGCGAAAACATCCATTTCAGCAATTGATGAGTACAGTAGACTCAGAGCGAAATATAAACCTTAACTGAGACAAATTTCGCTGCCGATAAATTCTAGCACAAGGTATGGGATCCTCAATGGGCTTCCGAAAATAGATCAGTGGAAGAAACGGAAGTGAAGAAGACAACGAGCATTATCATTTCATTGGTTCGCGGCATATGCAATTCTCATGGTGCATCCAGTTACGCAAATGGAATCATTCAATCGATATTATCTCAAGCATTGTTACTCACACTTGATGATGAACGCACAGTGATAAATGAATTTCATCAAGTATACAAAAAAGGATCAGAAACATAGAGTGCTATTCACGTCATTGGATTAGCTGGTAGTTAATTCACTCAGAACTCCGAGGAGTATCCAGTAATATTCTTAGAGAATTTATATCAAAAAATGATTCCATTTGGAAAACATATGGAATACGAATTGACACATCGCAATCGATGTAAAGTATGTGGTTATACGAAAACTTATAAAGAGACTCATTTCGTAATTGACTTACCGTCGGATGAGGTGAAAGAATCTGTATCTTTAGATGATTTAATTGAAAAATCAGTAGCTAAATGGCATGACATCCATGAATATTGTAATAGTTGTGGGAAAATTACGAAAATTTCACAGAAAACAAAAATCACTGATACTAATGGAGTATTAATCATCAAGATTAACATTTTTTCATTCAAGAAGAATATCAAACGGAAGACCGGCAAGTGGAAGCTGAAAGCCGTTCCAACGACCACCGTGAATATTTGTGGTAATTCGTATTGCGTCAATGGTGCTGTATTACATGGTGAAGTTCAAGGCAAAGACCATCATAGTAGTATCTCGAAACGCAATACAAGCGAGTGGATATATGTCGATGATTTAACCATTGCAAAAATGCGACGGCCACGGAATTCCAAGGATGTTCATATTTTGTTCTTGGAGCAAAGTAAATCCAAATAATGTTGCACATTAATTTTAAGGCTTTCGCGGTCATGATTAATGACATTATTGGCTTCCGCATGGATGCCGCGTCTGGTTTCAGCATTGCACAGATGTTTCGCAAACGTTGCAGTCTGCATCTTCAGGGCTGTGAGCTCCGATTCTGAGCTCCGATATCTGAGGGTAGTCATTGTATGCCTTCCCTTGTGATGGTTGGGGTAGGGGAAGGGAGGGGGGTGTCAGCCAATCATATGTTTTAATTGATCAGATAATCAATTAAAAAACCGGGAGGACGGTTTTCCAAATAGGATTCAATTGATATGCTCTGTCCCTGTTGAGGTTGATAAGGTTTTTGTAGATCTCTAAGCCTTCTCGGTATTTCCGTTCAAAATATCCTTGAGACTCGGCCAACATTCTGGGTTGATCGTACTCGATCCTATATCCAGTCTCCATCCATTGTTCAGCAAGTGCAGACTGTTGGAAGTGACCGTATTTGGAACACCGTGGCGGTTCCTTGATTCGTGTACTGATCTTCTTCCCGGTTTCACAAATGTATAATTTTCGGTATGAGCAGAGGATCTCGTACACTCCTGGTGTACTCAGATACGGTGTGCGATCTTTCGCACTCGGCAGCATCTGCGCAATCTTCTTTGGGGATTGGAAGATTGTTCGGATGCTATGTTTGCCGAGTACTCTGCTGATGCGTTCAGTGGTGCCTCTCAGGTAGGGGAGGAGGGCCACTTTAGGTTTCTCCTGATTTTCTTCAGGATCAATCTCCTCTTGAGGAGATGAGAGCTTGCTCTGTAGCTTTCGCTTGACTTTTCGAATTTGTTGGATGTTATATCCATTCTCGGTCAGAGCTGTCTCTAGATGTTCAACTTCGCTGTTAACGTTGGAGGGTTGGGAGGTTGTAAGAGCTCTGTACATTAGGGAGCTAATGACAGAGTTCTTCTGGGAGGGGTGATGATGGGAGGCCGCATTGAGGTATCTGTCTGTGTGGATCGGCTTGCGATATACTTGATGACATAGAGTGCCATCCTCATTGAGATGAACCAAGTCATTCAGAAAGGGAAGGCATCCGTTATGCTCAATTTCATTCAAGAACTCCAGGAATTGGTTTAGATCAGTCCTCCCATGTGGCCAGATGACAAAGGTATTGTTCACATACCTGAACCGAAGCCGGACCTGCACAGCAGGTTTCTGCGCTGTTGACTTCAAAGCTTCGTTCACGAAGTGTTCCATGAATATATTTGCAATCATCGGAGAGATGGGGGAACCCATTGCTGCTCCCGATTTATGCTCATAGAACTCTCCTTCGAACTGGAAGTATGTGGAGTTCAAGCAGTGCTCAATCGAGGGGAGAAATTGGGGAAAGATTTCATTCGACTCCTTGATTATTACCAAGGTTTCCGGGATTGGGACGTTGGTGAAGAGTGATTCTACATCAAAACTCAGTAGGATGTCGTCTCGAAAAGTCCTGAGATTCTTCGATTTGTTGAAGAAATCCAGCGAGTTCTGTATATATGAACCATTCAGGTCAGTCATCTTTTGGAGTGGTTTCGTGAGAAACTTAGCCAGAAGCATTCTTTGGGAGTGAGGAATTTTGTCAGATCAGCTGAGAGTCCAGCCTTCTTCAGGAGATCAATAGTTTGGTGCGCAATACTACGAGTAGGATCTTTCCTCAGCTTTGTGTGAACTCTGGAGTCACCCAACATCGCACAGAGCTTTCCGGAGTAGTCGTACTTATCCATAACCACCATGGCATCACCTTTGTCTGCCGGAAGAATAATGCGATCATTATTCTCCTTTAGACTACGCAGTGCAAGACGTTTCTCCCTAGTAATATTGTCACTAGGGGGAGTAGCCTTGTGGAAGACGTTGCACAACTATTAAAGTGCTTAAAATCAGCCATAATAGACGGTCAAGGCATTCATATGACATTGAAAAAATTTAATTCAAAAAATCCATTACGTATGAAGTTACTGCACAACGTTTCGAGCACACTAGGTACTCCTCTAGGTTGTCCTCGTTGGACAACTGCCTCCGGATCTCATCACTGGTCTCCTGAGGAAGATGGTAGATCGCTGTTTCGATCCGACTATTAATTTCCTCAGTGGGGATCTTTTTGTGGGTATCAGTGAAGTCGTGTTCTTTCGCCAACACAGACACATTTGCTTCACTGAGCTCATATTTGCTCAGATTCTTCATAGTGTGGGTGAGATTCAGGACTTTCTCCTGGGGGAGCAGCTTCTTGAACTTACTCTTCTGATTCTCGGTCCTCATCTCGGCTGTTCGGATTGCTTGTTCATATGTAATACGATCAAGAGTCTGCCACAGCTGAGAATCCAAAGTCTGACCCAGAAGAATGTGAAGATCGAGAAGCTATCTGGAGAGATTGGCAACGTTCTTTTTGGTCGTTGTGATTCTCTCCTTGAACAGTCTCAGTAAAGCCTGGCGGAGGATGGCATTTGCCGATGAGAGAACTGGGTTCCTCAACCGGAGAAATTTTGGTACCACTTTATGGTTGCGGCACCTTTTCAAAAAGTGAGGGAGCACAGTTTGACTTTCAAGGACTTTCTAAATTTGGGGAATAAACTCACCCACCCAAGAATAGCCTCTCTGTGGAGACGTTTAATCTTAGTTTTAAGGCTTTCGCGGTCATGATTAATGATATTATTGACTTCTGGATGGATGCAGCGTTTGGTTTCAGCATGGTGTCGATATTTCGCAAAGATTGCAGTCTGCATCTTGAAGGCTGTGAGCTCCGATTCTGAGCTCCGATGTCTGAGGGTAGTCCTTTTATGCCTTACTCTGTGATGGTGATAGTAGGGAAAGGGAGGGTGGGTCAGCCAATCATATGTTTTAATTGATCAGCTAATCAATTAAAAATCAATTTAAACAATTTAATTTTTAATTTTTAATTGATTAGCTGATCAATTTAAACATATGATTAGCTGAAATGCCCCTACCCCTTCCGGCAGACAAAGGCAATGCCACGGTGGTTATGGATAAGCAACTACTCGGGAAACCTCTGTGCGATGTTGGGTCACTCCAGAGTTTACACAAAACTCAGAAAAGATCCTACTCGTTCTATTGAGCGCCAAAATACTGATCTCCTGAAGAAGGCTGGACTCTCAGGTGATCTGACAAATTCCTCGCTGCCAATGAATCCTTCCCTCCTAGACTCTATGGACTTCCCAAAATCCATAAAGGGTCTGTTCCTCTCCGGCCCATCGTCAGCAACATTGGAGCGCCAACTTACCAGCTGACCAAGTTTCTCACGAAACCACTCCACAAGTTGACTTGCCTGAATGGTTCATACATACAGAACTCGCTGAATTTCGTTAACAAACTGAAGAGTCTCAGGACTTCTTCAGATGACATCCTAGTGAGATTTGATGTAGAATCACTCTTCACCAATGTCCCAATTCCGGAAACCTTGGTAATAATCAAGGATTCAAATGATATCTGTCCCCAATTCCTCCCCTTGATTGAGCACTGCTTGACCTTCACATACTTCCAGTTCGAAGGAAAGTTCTATGAGCAAAAATCGGGAGCAGAAATGGGTTCTCACATCTTCCCGATCATTGCAAATATATTTATGGAACAATTCGAGAACGAAGCTTTGAAGTCAGCAGCGCAGAACCCTGCTGTGGTTCAGGTATATGGACGATACCTTTGTCATCTGGCCACATGCGAGGACTCATCTAAACTTAAATTCCTGGAGTTCTTGAATGCTCAGCACCCGAGCATCAAGTTCACTATGGAAATTGAGCAGAACGGATGTCTCACATTTCTGGATGTCTTGGTTCGTCGCAATGAGGATGGCACTCTGGGTCATCGAGTATATGGCAAGCCGACCCACACAGACAGGTAACTCAATGCCGCCTTCCATCACCACCCCTCCCAGAAGAACTCTATCATTAGCTCCCTAATGTACAGAGCTCTTACAATCTTCCAACCCTCCAACGTCAACAGCGAAGTTGAACAGCTAGAGACAGCTCTGTCCAAGAGTGGATATAACATCCAAGAAATTCGAAAGGTTAAGCGAAAGCAACAGATCAAGCTCTCATCTCCTCAAAAGGAGATTAATCTTGAAGAAAATCGGGAGAAACCTAAAGTGCCCCCCTCACCTACCTGAGCGGAACCACTGAACGCATCAGCAGAGTACTCGACAAACACAACAACAAAGAAGTTTGGACAGATGCTGCCGAGTGCGAAAAATCGCAGACCGCCTCTGAGTACACCTGGAGGTTACGAGATTTCCTGCTCATGCGGAAAAGTGTACATCGGTGAAACAGGGAGGAAGATCAGTACACCGATCAAGGAAAACCAACGGCGTTCCAAATACGTTCACGCAAAACAGTCTGCACTTGCTGAACACCGGATGGACACTGGCCATAGAATCGTGTACAATCAAGCCAGAATGTTGGCCGAGTCTCAAGGATATTTCGAAAGGAACTACCGAGAAGGCTTGGAGATCTACAAAAACCCTAACAACCTCAACAGGGATGGAGAATATCAAGTGAACCCTATTTGGAAAACCGTCCGCCCGGTTTTTTAATTGATTATCTGCTGAATTAAAACATATGATTGGCGGACACCCCTCCCTTCCGCTAGCCCCACCATCACAGGAGAAGGCATAAAAGGACTACCCTCAGACATCGGACCTCAGAATCGGAGCTCACAGCCCTGAAGATGCAGACTGCAATGTTTGCGAAACGTCTGCGCAATGCTGAAACCAAACGCGGCTTCCATCAGGAATCCAATAATGTCAATGTTGCATATTATCTAGAGTCTTTCCTTGTGACGTGAGTTATGTGTTATGTAAGTCTGTTTGACAGCATCGATGCTGAAAGTTTCTTCCTCTCGGTTTGGAAAAATGATTGAAATCTCCCAAAAATTATACCATACCATATTATATGGTACGACCATAAAAACTGTTTTTATCTACACAAAGTCAATCCAAAAGCGTGTCAATACGAGTAATGCATTAAAAAACATTTTTTTCAGAATATTTTCAGGACCAATGTACTTGGCGCGGTTTTTTGAAAAACTCATTGCGGGAGTTGGAAATTTATGTTGACACCATGGTCGAATGAAGCTTCTCCATGCTTTCAAGTCGCGAATGCTGCTACCTACGTAGCGATCACTGCCTTGATTAATTTAATTTCTATTCATGAAAATGAAAATATTGGAAAATGGAGAAGAATAAGCTCAGGGGATTAATTAAAACTATCTGAAAATTCCATCCAACACAATGACACAATTGACTATCTAAAGATTCGAACACCTAGCCAGGTGCAGTATGCTTCAAAGCAATTTCTGGGTCCCAAAGTGACCGCAAATATCTAACAATAGACTCCCAAATAGCGTTCCACATTAAAGTCAAAAACAGTGATAAGTACGTTGGTCCTAACAATTTTCTGAACAATTTTTTTTTAATGAACTACTCGTACTGACACGCTTTTCGATTGACTTTGTGTGGATAACAACATTTTTTATGGTCGTACCCACTCCGTAACTCATAGGAATAGACAATATTGAGTTGACATTAACGAGTTCAAACTTATAAAACTTGTAACATTACAGCCGACTGTAAAAAAGAGCTGAAATTGTGTCTAGATGTTATAAAAAGTTCTGTCGTTTTTCAAAATGACAAGTTCAACTTCGTGAAGTTTGCGCGCTTCCTTATTTCTGCACTTTTTCCAATTTCCCGGAAACAACGGTCCATAAATAAGTACTCGGGCATTTTTCCACAATGACGCAATGAAGTGGTTACTCGGCATTAAAAAAAACCTTTTTTCCGAAAAAAAATTTTTTTTTTGAAAAAATGCAATGATTAGTAATTCAAAGCTTTTCTTGGCCGATATGCTGCCAGATATCTCGATCGAATTGTAGTGACTTTTTCTGTACTGCTCCTCACGATTTCTCGCCTGGGAATTGGTATTTCATACTTTCTAAACTCGAAAACTTGAAAATCGCGACAAAAAAACCGCATCACAACAGCCCGGAAAAATACAATTTTTATTGAATATTTCCAATTGAACATTTCATATAAAAAATATCCTTATATTTGGAAAAAATGTGGACGCTCGCTTCACTCGGTTAGATCGCGGTTTTCAGGTAATGACGAAAAATTACATTCATCACACGGTCGACAACGTATTTTCTGATGAATGTGATTATAGTCCTCGCCTTCAGCTCGGACTATAAAGCCACGTTCGTCAGAAAATACTTTGTAGACCTTATCATGAAGTTTACAATTTTTTCTCATTTTCATAAATATATATCACTGATTTGTAGATATTGATCTTCAATTATTGACGCTAATGGGTACAGACTAGAATAACCCTGATCATCAATACTTTATAGCTGAAGTTTGGTGATAGATTCCTGAAATCTGAGGCGGATCCTTGAAAATCAATGACTTATCATTGAAAATCAAAACGTTTTCTAATAACCGAAAATCAAATGTTAAATTTAAAAGTATTAGTCACGTTTCATGACCTCTAGAGTCATTATAAAACGTTTCTGAAGATGTTGGTGTGTGTGTGTATGTGTGTGCGTAAAACATTCACATAAAAATAGTTCACATAAAAATTGTAAAAAAAACGCAAAAGATGAAAATTTCATTGAAATTCGACGATTTTACTTGAGAAATCCATGGGATTGTGATGAATTTTGTCTAACTGACGCGTCTTCATAGAACTCGATTCTGATTGGATGTTGGGCGGAATCATATCAGCATTTTTTGGGTTATTTTGGAGAGGATGTTTTTTTATTTGAAACTTTTTGAAAAATTTTCAGTTTTGTTCACATTGTTATTTTTCCATTTTATTTTTATTTTTTGCAGGGAATGGATTGTGACATAAATTAAAGCTAACTGAATTCCAATGAACATCGTCTCAATATAGTTAATAATGTATGAGGATGAAACTTGGAGAATTTGCTTTTTTTTCCTAACGAATAAAGTAAAGGCAATTGGTCGGGAAGTGATCAATTCGAGCCAAAATGGGGCACACCCACACTAATCGACCAACACTTCAGTCGAATTTTCACGAGTTATCATTAACCTATATTTAATTATAGAGTATATAAAAGTTGATATGATTGTTGATATGATTATTGTCCAAGTATTAAAATTGAATTTATCGACTCCCCTCCCCAATCATATGAAGTGTACTAATTATCATTGAAAAAATTTTCAAAAAAAATTGTATTGTTTCTCAGAAAAAAAAATTGAAAAAATGCCGAGTAACCATTTCAATGCGTTGTTGTGGAAAAATGCCCGAGTACTTATTTATGGATAATTGTTTCTGGGAAATTAAAAAAAGTGCAGAAATAAGGAGGAGCGCCATGTTCATGAAGTTGAACTTGTGATTTTGAAAAACCACAGAACTTTTCATGATATCTAGAAACAATTTCAGCTTTTTTCTACAGTCGGCTTTTACTGTTGCAAATTTTATAAGTTTGAACACATCAATGCCAACTAAACATTGTTTATTCTTGTGAGTTACGGAGTGGGTACGTTCATAAAAAGTGTGGTTATCCGCACAAAGTCAATGAAAAAGGGTGTCAATACGAGTGTTTCTTAAAAAAAATTGTTCCCAAAATTCTCACGACTAACGTACTTGGCGCAGTTTTTTATCTTAATGCGGATCTTTATATAGGAGTCTCTTGTTTGAGATTTGAGATCCACTTTGGGACTCAGAAATTGCTTTGAAGCATACTACACCTTGCTAGGTGTTCAAATCTTTAGATAGTCAAATGTGTTTAATGCCTCAAGCTTATTCTTTTCCATTTTCAAATATTTTCATATTCATGAATAAAAATTAAATTAATTAAGGTAGTTATCGGCATTCGCGACCTAAAAGGACAGAGAAGGTTCATTCGACCATGGAGTCAACATAAAGCGACATCTCTCCGCAATGAGTGGTTCAAAAAACCGCGCCAAGTACGTTGGTCCTGAGAATTTTCTGAACAATGTCTTTTAAAGAAACACTCGTATTGACACTCTTGTTCATTGACTTTGTGAGGATAACCACTCTTTTTATGGTCGTACCCACTCCGTAACTCACAGGAATAGACAATATTGAGTTGGCATTGATGAGTTCAAACTTATAAAATGTACAACAGTATAAGCCGACTGTAGAAGAAAGCTGAAATTGTTTCTAAATGTTATGAAGAATTTGTGACGAGCTTCGTATAAAACTTTTTTTATCAATAATTAATTGAAATAATTTGTCACAATTAGTTTCAAACTTAAGGCCCTCCGACGTTGAACTTACCATAGGCGCCCGCCTATTTTCAATATTTTTTACTTGGCGGAATAGGCAAGGCCAAGTGTGCCTTAAAGCAACTCAAAATTCCTCTAAACAAAATCTCAACCCACACTATTCATAACAAGGGGGAGGAGGGACGATACCAGCCTTGCCAACCATACCATTATCATGGTACCTATACCATGAAACTGGCTCCGATACCATATACCATGATGCCCGTCATGATGTCATGGTATACCATTTTTCACGCGAGGAACGAAGGGAATGTCCTAAAAATTCATTATCTTCGGATAACTTTATTAAATATTTTAATGCTTTTCTTTCCTGAAAATTGCATTGATTATATGGCTTCTATCAGCAGCTGGATCTCCTGGATATTGTTCATTCGCAATTTATGAAAAAAATATATATTGTTGTGATGAAGTTTTTTCAATGAATCTCCAATGACAATAAAAAAAGTTAGCTTAAAAAAAACGTCCGTCTCTGTCCAGTACGAGCTTTAAGTTAGCGCCTGTCATTATTGAAGCCGTTTGACACTCAAACCCTGTTGGTAGAGGTGATAATTGATCTTCGTTTGAATTATTGGTACATCGAATTTCATGAAAAATTTGAGGTTTAAGAATGGTAAAGCGGATACTATTCAGGGACACCAAGAGCGCCAGCGACTCTCGGAAGAACCATCAGTCGATAAAATGGAATTTGTCCGATGGAATGTCCGACGAATCATGTACAGCGAGACAAAAATTGCTCCAATCATAAAATTCGTTACAACACAGGGAGCCCCCTACTTCGCCTATCTCGTTTTCTTGAAACAACAGCTGATATTCACTAGCGGTGTGGCCTCCATAACTCGTCA